AATTCCCTATATTTAATATTTTTATCCACGTTTATATGATTATGGTTCCGTGAATTATTTACTTTATGTAAAAATAAAATTCATATATATATATATATGAAAAATATTTTCTCATATTGTATAAGAATTTAATTCTCATGTTGTGACTTTTTGATATGTGTACAAAATTTTTCTTTTTATCTTTTTAATAAATATGAGGTGCACCACTAATTGAGTCACAACATGAGAATTCAATTCTCATGCAATATGAAAAAATCAAATCCCAAATATATATATATATATGTAGGGAAATATTTTTCTTATGTTATAGGAAAAAAGTTACCTCATGTTACAGAAATAAAATTATAAATGGAACCCACAAGTAAGAGGAGAAGAGAAGAGAGAAAAAAGAGTAGTAGGATCCAATCTTTTTTATGTGTGTAGAAAAATTATTTATCTTATATAAAATAAGATAAACATAATCTATATATATATATATATATATATATATATATATATGTTGTACAGGATTGAAATCCAACTTGAAAAGTGGGACCGGGGCGTCTAACGAGGCTGGAGATAACATTTATCCATGGGCAGAACTCGCCATAGTCTCTCACAATCTTCCTGTAACAGTTACATCACCCATAATCATCACCCGTGGATTTCAGGCTCTGAATCACACCACTTTCTCTCAATTGCCAAGGTCTCTATAAAAAGTTGGTATAGTATTTGAGGAACACACACATGGTTACACTAGAACATTCTTAACCTTTATCCAGAGTATTCTCACTTCCCTACGTGTACACACACTCACCCTTGATTATTGTCATCGAACTTTTGATTGGAGGTACTAATACACCATTATCAAGCATCTCTACCATTTATCCGTAGATAAATATACCGGCTCATACTTGTTGGATATTTACAATTCAACACAACTGAACAATATGTGATATTTTATATTAAATAAATTACTTATCAATTTTCTCTCGAGGAGGTGGATGGAGGTCAAATTTTCCCCCCTAAGGGACAATACATGCTTTTTGTTCATAAACAATAATTAAGCTCTTAGACATATATAATATAAAATTATTGAAAATTTATCATTTATTAAGGTAAGTTCTTAAGTAGAATTAATTCTTTATATAATATTAAAGTAAAGATAATCACAAAATCATAAGTTTGATTCTTATCACTATCATTTTTTAGTAAAATTAAATCAAGCACAAGGTAGAGAACTAAAAGAAATAAATACATGAAATATCCACACTTTAAGTTAAGATGATCTTGTGTGAGATGATGTGTTAAAGATATATAATATAAAATTATTAAATATTCATCATTTCCTAATTTAAACTTTTTGAGTTGAATTAATTTTTTAAATAAATTATATCTTTTGACTCCCATGTTCTACCGATTTGAGCCTTATCTTGATCCTCTTGAGTCTTGACTTGAGTAATGTACGTCTTCATAAATCAACGGTAAGTAAGTCACCACCATAGTGGTTCGATTGAAAGTAGATTAATATCAGATATGGGAATAAATGGCTAAGATTGGACTACGGTTGACATGTGACTTTCTTGTAAGAAATCATTATTAAAACGTAATATTGAGTCATCTCAGCTGCATGTCCTTCTCATGTCCATTGCTTCGTGGGAGGTGCTGCTTACTTTTCTAAATCAAAATGTGTAAAACAAAATGATTGGGAAGAGATAGGACACGTATCCTCCACGTCATATAAAGTAGGCATGCATATCCCAAGATCATGCATGCAAATTCGCAAATATGAATTGAAAGGGTATGATTTTCTCTAAGATCCTTTATTTTTCCTATATTCACACGGGACATTTTATATTTATAAATTTTTTTATTTACAAATTTTTATAAATTATATTATTTTTTTTCAGGAGAATATTAATTACAATATCTTCTTCCGAAAAAATATAGTGTAATTTGTAAAAAAATTTCAAAAAAGTTTATAAACGGATCCTTCCCTTATCCGTATATGCTTCTTCTCTAAAATTACTTAAGATAAATGTTTTAAATATCACCGTTAGAAATTAAATCAGCCAATACGATTAGATTAATTCGATTAATTAAATTTATGATTACATTTTTAAATAAAATTATAAACAAATGATTATTTTATCAAGACCCTCTAACACGCTCCTTTCATTTGCTGTATATCACGAGAAATTATACATCGTTTTATTATAGTAGGAAAAACTTTTTATTAAATGAACTTGTTTTTTGGTAAACATGTTCTCAGTTTTTTTTCTCTCGTAAAAGTTCAAAAAACTCTTTTAATTAACATCTCATTTCCTCTAATTCAATGTTTTAAAACTCAGATAGACCTTGATTTCAGTGACCCAATAAGGGTACCGATTTGAGTGGTTATTTGAAGGAACACCGATCAAAATGTCACTGTTTATCAATTTTTTTATTTAAATACCACGCGAACAGTGTTATTTCTCAATTTGCCACGGAGGCAAGTTCGCTACCCGATGTAGCGAACTCGGTTTGTTGACGTGTCACATTTCTAGTGGATAACAAGTACCAAGTTAAAAAAAAAAAGTTTGAAATTCGCTACATTGGGTAGCGAATTTGGTTTAACAAAGTTCGCTACCCCGTGTAGCGAACTTGGTGTTCACTAGAAACGTGACACGTCAGCAAATCGAGTTCGCTACACCGGGTAGCGAACTTGCCCCCGTGGCAGATTGAGAAATAATACTATTCGTGTGGCATTTAGGTAAAATATTTGGTGAACAGTGACATTTTGGTCACTGTTCCTTATTTGAATCGGTCACGCACTTGACTCGATCGAGTCTCGGTGAGTTAAACGAAACTTGATTTACCCATTTTTTTTTATAGAAAATTAAGCCTTTTTTTTAAGTTTGCTTCTTATTCAAACAAAAGAGGGGTTGAGGGGAGTCTTAAGCAAGCTGAACATGCATCATGAGCAGAAAATTAAAAGAAGATCCTAAAAATAATTTGATTTTTGAACTTAAAAAAAACAAAAAAATACAACTCTGGTTGAGATTATGTATAATAGCCAACTTTTTATCCTTCCCCATATGTGCATTCATTATTTTCTTTCTATTAATATATTCTGTAATCAAAAGAAGCTTATATTTTATGAAAGCATTTGGATAATCGGTATTGTTATTTTCATCGGTTATGCTTTTATATTTATAAAGAAATATCCATAACGCAGTAATTTTTTATATGACATTTGCTCTGTATCGTCTCAAAGTGCATAAAATCTTGAAGGTGATGATTTTACTGTGTCTCACTTTTTTTTTTGGTAATCTTGTGTCTCATTTTTTTACAAGCTTGTTATGGTCGTTGATTTGTGAGATCCACTTTAACATTGATTCACAAATTTCTTATACCTCCCTAAAGGGTTGGACTCAGGAGAAAAGATGGAATGTGCTAATTTTACATAATTTAGTTAACATTATTCCTTTATTTTTATGCATTTAGTTAATGTTATTTTTTTATTTTTATGCGTTCTAGATACCTTTATGAGGATTTGATTATGCATATTATAAAGATAAAAAATATAATGCCATCACTTTGTGTTATGTGTAGAGATAACATTCTTCTTTCACTTTAGGCATTTATTACCATTCAATTTCTTCATATTATTATAAGTAATATATTTATATTCTTTTAACATGTGAACAATATATTCGGTTGAACTCGGTTGATCCAATGACCCTGTACCTCGACCGAGCAGATAACCGGTCTGAGTTTTAAAACACTGGTCTAACTAATATGGATTATATAAATATTTCTATATGAATTATATATAAATCTAACACTTTGTAAGAAGAATTTTTTACTTATAATAAATTTTTAAAAACTTGGGTGACCTTACAATTAAGAACTTGACACTTGAACAGTAGTTCAGGTGGCTATTAGTGCTTTCTTCAATTTTTTAGAATTTAAACTAAATTCCGTCTTTCTTAACTAGCAAATGTGCTTCCTAGGGACTACAAAAATTAATTAAGAACCTCGAACCTCCTCCATGTTAAAATTAGATTTCATCCAGCAATGTACTCACGTGTCACTCTTTAAACAATATATGCGACCACAAGCACAATAATTTTATTTGTGCTAGGGTATTTAAATACTTTTTCATGCATTTTAAATTTTTTACTTTTTATTAATGAATTCAAGCATACCTATTTTTATCATAAGGGTATTATTAAGCATACTTTTTCATGCATTTTAAAAAATTTACTCTATCTTCTTAAAAAAAAAACTATACAATGGTATTATTAAGATTCGTACTTATGACCTACGTACCTAAAAAATTTATATTATAAAAAAACTCCTAAAAAATCAGCTTCATTAGTGGTTATATAAACACTAATTCATAACTCTCTCAAGAGAAATATAAACTAATAATCTTCGTCAAAAAAGTTAATTATAAACAGACATGCGTCTCTTTGAATTTATTTATTTATATATATTTACCTATTTTCATAACACATACCAAAAGTAGCATGTAGCACATAATTAATTTTCATTTAAAAGAAAAAAAAATCTGTTGAACTCGAATTCATTGCATGGGACCAAGAATAATTGGAAAGGAAAATAAAATCAATAAGTTAAAAAAAAGTACCATAATTCTAAATCTCATCCATCAAATATGCATGCATTTTAAAAAATAAAATAAATGCATATATATCACAAAAAGTTGTCCTTTTTATGAAACAGCTGTAGAATTAGAAGCAAATACAAGACAAGTGATGAAATTAGGCAGCCACCATTGACCTGAAGGTGACACAAAATATTGAGTAGCCATATGGTATATACCGAATTTACAAGACAAGAAATAAGAGAAGGACCACACAAAAAAATGATGACGAAATTTAGCAGAATAAGACAACTCAACTTACCTTCCAATACTTGAAAGCCTTGTCAAGAACATACACAATAATTACACACACCACATCACATAAACACGCCATTACGCAAATTGCTCTTTTTGTTCATTCCTTTTCCCTTTTTCCTGTGCACAAACAAACTTGTTATTTCTCTGTCCTTTCTCTCTCTCTCTCTCTCTCTCTCTCTCTCTCTAAAGCAATACATACTCATAGAGAAACATGCTTTGTGAAAATAATTGAGTTTCTCTGCAGAAAATTCAGCCACCCCCATTGTTTTATTCTCCATAAATTCTTCTCCTTGTTCACCCTCCAAGCTCAATTTGGGGAGCTTCTTGTTGTTTTCCCAGAATGAAACTCAAGTGAATTAGGGTTTTTGTTTGTTTCTTTCTTTTTAAGTTTTAACTCTTGAGTTTTAGGCAAAATTCGTTGATTTTTTCTGGAAAGTTCGCGTTTTTCTGGGTTTTTGTTGCGTTTGAGCAACTGGGTTCGTGAGGAATTGCTGCACGGTCATGCCGCCAGCGATGATGGATCCGTTGATGCCGTCTTCTTTGAGCTCCGACTCTGTTTCTCGGAGATCGGCGCCGGAGAATCGGCGATTCGGTAATCTTAGAGGCTTGCAGTGGCGTATAAATCTTGGGGTGTTGCCGTCTTCGTCTTCAACTTCCATTGATGATCTTCGTCGGGTCACGGCTGATTCTAGAAGGAGGTAAATCAGCTCCATAACCATGTCTTTTGTGTGCGTGCCTCTTCTAGTGTTTTTTTTTTTTTGGGGGGGGGGGGGGGGGGGGGGTATGTAGTAGTTAACTTGTTGTTTCTTAGGTATATTGATGGTGAGCATAACATTATAGTATAATATGCTGATTTTGTTTTTTTATAGTTGGTTTTGGTGCTCAACAGCAAGGAAAGTGCACCTGAACTATCTTTTTTTATATATATTTTTTTATCTTTATCGAATTTTTTGATGATGGAGATAAAATCATACGGAAATACAGGAAATTTTGATTATTTTCATTCGGCTAAAGCCAATACTATTTTATCTTGTTTTGTGTCAATATCTGCCTATGAGTATAGATTGCATCTACAATTTCATTGTCGGTAACTGTTTCTTCTTATGCATTGAGGATTGTTTATACAATTTATGAATTCTGTGTTTGCTTGCCATTCTAAAGATGAGTTGTTTGTTACAGGTGTTTTTTATATCTGTCATAATTTCCACTAAAAATGACTGCAATGTATGTACAGCTAATTGTACTTTTTGCATATTTGCATAGTAATCACGAACTGTATTTAATCTTGTCAGGTATGCCAGTTTGAGAAGGCGCCTCCTGATTGAACCGCAAGTTCCAAAGAGTGGAACTAGTTCACCCAATCTTGTCATGGACAATCCACTTTCGCAAAATCCAGGTATATCTTAGTTTTTCTCACCCCATTCCAGCATCTTACATGCAGATAAATCTATAGATCTAGTTATAGATCCATGATTCAGCTCGTGTACTTTCCTAAATTCCTACATAGCATAGAGCATGTTATATATCTGCACTGCTAATGTAAACACTCTTCAACTTTTCGCCACTTGGTTTAACTAGAGTCTCATCATGTGGTATCCTTGTAGTTGTTGCCAGACTATTTACCTATTGCTTTATTTTTGTAAGGATTTATAAATGAAAATTTAATTTGTTTTGGAGGAATATAGCTATGCTCCCTGCTTATGATAGAAATTCAAGAAGATTAAGCTAAGAATTAGTAGCAATCAACCAATGGTTATGGTAAAAGTGTAGTAGATATAAAATAAAAATATTGTTGCATGTGTTGTCCGTGTTGGAATTCTGTCAAGTAGATTTCTGACAGTTAGCCCTCTCTGTCCCTTTCTGGTATGAACAATTGAATTTTATCTGTGGTAAATATAATATGGCATTTATATGCAGATAGTACATGGAGTCGCTTTTTTCGCAGTGCAGAGCTGGAGAGAATGGTTGATCAGGATTTATCACGTCTGTACCCTGAACGTGGCAGTTATTTCCAGACACCAGGATGCCAAGGCATGTTGAGACGAATCCTATTACTATGGTGTCTCAGACACCCAGAATGTGGTTATAGACAAGGTAATTTCTCTGCCAAGCTATGGTGTCAAACAATACATCAACCTTAAATAAATATACCTCCATTTTAAATATGGCTTCTCATTTCGGGTGTCTTATTTTCCTTCCAGCACCAAATAAGTAGCTATAGTTAATGCACCTTTATTTTAAGTTGGCTTTCTCATTTTGTGACGATCGTCTAATTTTTCCTTCCAACCTTGTATAATTAACAGCAGAACATCCAACTTAGTGAAACCTTTTTAATATAAAGAATGTCATCATATGCTTTATCTGTTATCAGTAACATGTTTAAATGTTAAAGGAATACATAAAGACCTATAGGCCATGAGCAATGGGGTTTTGTTAACAATTTTTCTGTCATATACTCCTTATTGCCAACAAGTCCTTAACTACTTTTGCATTGATTACTGCTCCAAAATCTGTAAAGATATGTGTGAATCTTCTACCATTAACGTTATCTGTTTTATTTTCATATTCATTCATTATTCAAATGGCAAAAATATAGAAAAAGAGAACTGATAGTTAATTCATTAAATTTTTTAGAAACCTAATTTTTGGTAAAATGTAAATTCGATCACTTGGCTTCCTGGCTTTTAAATAACCAGTTTTGCTTTAATATTCTATGTTATGAAAGTAGTTGAGTATACATTAATGGATCTTTCATGTTATAGGAATGCACGAATTACTTGCTCCCCTGCTTTATGTTCTCCAAGTTGATTTGGAGCGTCTTTCAGAAGTTCGAAAGCTTTATGAAGATCACTTCACAGATAGGTTTGATGGCCTTTTATGCCAAGAGGATGACCTTTCTTACAGCTTTGATTTTAGAAAATCTCCAGACTTGATGGAGGATGAAATTGGCTCCCATGGAAATGCAATGAAAGTCAATAGCCATGATGAGCTTGATCCTGAAATACAGACCATTGTATTGCTAAGTGATGCTTATGGAGCTGAAGGTGAACTGGGCATTGTTTTATCTGATAAATTCATGGAACATGATGCTTATTGTATGTTTGATGCTTTAATGAATGGGGCCCATGGTTCAGTTGCAATGGCCGATTTCTTCTCTTCCTCCCCGGTACCTGGGTCCCATACTGGCCTGCCTCCTGTGATTGAAGCTTCTACTGCATTGTATCATTTGTTGTCTCTTGTGGATTCATCTCTGCATAGCCATCTTTTTGATCTTGAGGTTGAACCCCAGTACTTTTCTCTCCGATGGTTGCGAGTTTTATTTGGACGAGAATTTTCACTTGACAAGCTCTTGATCATCTGGGATGAGATCTTTGCATCGGATAATAGCAACATGGAAAGAAGTGCTGATGATAACATAGACTATGGGTTCAGGATCTTACATTCACCTCGTGGAGCATTTATCTCAGCTATGGCTGTGGCAATGTTACTTCAATTAAGATCTTCACTACTTGCAACTGAAAATCCTACAACCTGTCTCCAGAGATTATTGAACTTCCCTGAAAACATTAATATTGAAAAACTTATAGAGAAGGCTAAATCCTTGCAGGCTCTCGCATTAAGTGTTGATATTTCATCCTCATCACATTTGTTTCTAGGGTCTCATCACCAAAGTAAATCGATGTTTACAAGATCTGTGACCCTTCCATCTGAATCCGTGTCTCCAAAATCTCTTCTGAATTTTTTACCTGATAGCTACTGGGAAGAAAAGTGGAGAGTTGTCCACACGGCTGAAGAACTTAAGCAAGATGATGTAGAAAAACAGGTCCCAACTCAGAAAAAGGGATGGGCAGAAAAGGTAAAGTTCAGTTTGAAAAGAACAGAGTCAGACCCACCTCCTTCAAGGATTTGTAGTGGCAAAAAGGAACCTAAGGCTTCGGTTAGGCGAAGTTTGTTAGAAGATCTTAATAAGGCACTTGGTTCGGAGGATGATACAGAACAAATGCACTCTCACGACATCCTTTGCCAGCAGGATAATCCTTCTGAAGCAGTTGAAGTGGAGCAACAAGATGGTGGCTGTAACGGGGACAACAATTATTCATGTGATGATAGATGTCCCAGTAGAAATTCCGGCAGTGAGGAAGACTCATCTATATATTCTGACCCAACTAGTCCTCCTAATGAGGCAAATGATCATGAAATTACCTCAGAGAAAAGTAGTGTTGCATCTAATTTATCCCTTGGCGAATGCAATGAAACTTCAGATACCAGTCCCAATGATTCATATCCCTTTCCGATCTCTGATCCTCCCGAGAACATGTCTCAGACATCAGGGTGCAATAACGATGATGCAGGGAATTCAGCCACACATCCTAAAGAGACAAAACAGAATAAATTCCAGTGGTTGTGGAAGTTCGGACGGAACACTGCTGAGGTTATCTCTGAGAAAGTAGGGGGTGCTGCCGAGGCTACAAAATCTGCCAAAAGTTGTAGCATTCAAAGTAATACACTCCCACCAGCCTTTTCTACAACCAATGGTCATTGCAGTTCTGTTAGTTGCAAAGGAGATTCTGTAGACCAGAATGTGATAGGCACTTTGAAGAATATTGGGCAGTCTATGCTTGACCATATTCAGGTAAAGTTTTTTTCCCACTGTCACTATTCAATGACAAGTTTTTGAGTAAGATATGTACAATTTGAAGGAACAAAATTTGGCTTTGGTTTTGCATGAAATGCTGTAGACCTCAAGCTGATGTTACTTTTTCCCTTGGTTTCTTGCTTTTTAATCTTTAAGGACTGTTTTTTGTGGTGCAGGTAATTGAATCTGTTTTCCAACAAGACAAGGGCCAGGGAGCCTCATTGGAGAACGTATCTAAAAATGTTCTTGTTGGCAAAGGGCAGGTTACTGCCATGACAGCTCTCAAGGAGCTTAGGAAAATTAGCAATCTTTTGTCTGAGATGTGAGGTGAATCTTGTATTGATTTGTATATAAGATTTTGTGATTACAATTCTTTAGTGCCAATAAAATAAGTTTCTTGTGCTGCACTTCCAGTATCCCACCAAAGTTTTGTAAATGTTCAGAGAGATGAATTTGTAAATATATGTATTCGGGTTACATAAATAAATTAATGGCAGTTGATGACTCCTATTCATGCGTATGGTTTGCTTGGTTGCAAACTATGCTTTGCGTTATATAATATAAGCGGCTATCTTAATTTATTAAGTAAGCCTCATCCACTGCATGCCGCCTCTACATTAAAATATTCCTCAATGGCTCAATTATATTAAAAAATAGATAAGAAAAATATGAATAGAATATTTGATCGATATTTCCTTTGTACTATTTTGTAGATTCCATGTAAGTTATAAATATACGATACTTAATTACTTCTCGTAGTAAAGAACATATGCTTGGTAAATCGAGTACGTTTTGTCCCAAAATGATTATCCTCCATGGTTTCTCTAAGATTGCTCTTGGATAATGTTACAGATTTCTTCTTAACGATAAACAACAACTACTAAAAGGAATTAATAATCTAATAACACAGGAGCTTTTGGCCTGAATATTTCATATTTTTTATATATTTTCCAAAGACAATTAAACAGAGACAAATTCAACATTACATCTAAAAAAGAAAAATTACAATGAAACGTAAATTGCAACAAGGCTCTAGGCTCTCTCATTCACTAAAGCCAAGTACCCAAGGTTCAGTATTTTCACGATGCCTCTCCCCTTGCCACCCATGCTCAATATAACCAATTCTCTCACCCTTCACGTTCCATTCTGTTAAGGGCATTCCTGTAATCTGTTCTGCTGACGTGGTATCCATGTTGGTATCAGTATTGTAATGGTTCTTTTGGGCCCAAACCTTTCTGGTCTTATCCCTTTTGTATGTTTTGGCCTGAATTGCATCAATACTTCCCCTCATTTGAGAAACCTTGTCCTCAAGGTTGAATTGAGGAAATTGTTGATTGATTATTTCAAACTCCTCCGAAGTGTTCTTGAAATCTGGTAAATTCCGCCATTTAATTAGCACCTGGATAGTGTTTTGAACAGAACGACGAACCTCTACTAACTCCTCTGGTTCCACCATAAGCTCCCAATTTTCATTTAAAATTGGGGGCAGAGGTTGAACTATTGTCATGGTCTTGATAGCTTTTTTGAGAAGACTCACATGAAATACCGGATGAACTTTACAATCAGAAGGCAGATGGATACTATAAGTCGTTTTCCCAATGCGTTCAAGCACCTGATAAGGCCCATAAAAACGTGGACTCAGTTTTTCATTGACCCTCCTAGCAATTGTTTTGAGCCGATACGGCTGAATTTTAAGGTAAACCCAATCACCCACTGCCAGGTTAACATCCTTGTGTTCCTGATCCGCATAAAGCTTCATGCGGCCTTGAGCCTTGAGCAGATGATGCTGCAAATCGTCTAGAATAACATCTCTTTGTACCAGAGCTTGAGAGACAACATCCACTGCAAGAATAAAAGTGCCACATTTAAATAATGTTGGCGGATCCCTACCATACAAACCTTTAAAAGGTGTCATACCTGTAGTATCCTTAAAGGTTGTATTATACCGAAATTCCGCCCAATGAACCCAGGTAAGCCAATTTTTGGGTTTAGTGCAGCAAAAACAGCGAAAATATGCTTCCAGACACCTGTTTACCACCTCAGTCTGTCCGTTGGTTTGAGGATGATACGCGATGCTATAATGCAATTTTGTGCCTGCACTGTTGAAAATTTCAGTCAATAAATTGCTTAAAAACACCTTATCTCTGTCAGAAACAATGGTGACAGGAAATCCATGCAGCCACATCTTTTGTTGTAAATGGGTGTTTCATTGGAAGAAAATGAGTGTATTTGGTCAACTGGTCTACCACCACAAGGATGGTATCTACCCCCATGGATTTGGGCAGCCCACCAATAAAGTCTAGAGATATATCTTCCCACACTTGAGTTGGTATGGTTAGTGGTTGTAACAAACCAGCTGGGGTCAAGTTTTAAGACTTACTACTGGCAAACTTCGCATCCAGCCACATACTCCTTGATATCTTTCTTCATTCCTTCCCAATATACTACTCCAGCCAGCCTCTTATATGTTCTGAAGTACCTAGAATGACCTCCCAAACCAGAATCATGATATTCTTTCAAAAGAAGGGGAATAAATTGTGACAGCTTGGGCAACACCACACGGTGATTATAAAACAACTTGCCTTCTCTCACCATAAAGCCTTTGTGTGCATCAGGGGCTATTAACAGGTCCTGTAAAATTCCATGGAGTTTGGCATCCTGCTGAATTTCCATTTCTAAATCATCCCAGGCTGACCAATGAACCTGAGACATTGCTCCAAAAATCATTTGTCGTGAAAGAGCATCTGCTACTTGATTGTCTTTCCCCGGTTGGTATTGTATCTCAAAGTCAAAGCCCAATAATTTGGAGATCTACTTTTGCTGATCCTCAGTCAATGCCTGCTGATCTGTCAGAAATTTCAAACTTCGTTGGTCAATTTTTACAATGAAGTGTCGACCCCTCAAATAATGCCTCCATTTTTTAATAGCAAAGACAATTGCCATTAATTCCTTTTCGTAGACTGACTTGGCTTGTGCCCGATCAGAGAAACCTTGGCTAATGAAAGCGAGAGGCCTTTGGTCTTGCACCAAAACAACTCTAATTCCCTTACCGGATGCGTCTGTCATTACTGTAAATGTTTTGTTGATGTCCGACAATGCCAGAACCGGAACTGAACTCATCATGGTCTTTAATAATTGGAAACAGTCCTCTGCCTCTTTACTCCACCTGAATCCATCCTTCTTTAGTAATTCCGTAAGAGGTTTGGCTAATTTACCATAGTCCTTCACAAACTTCCTGTAATACCCTGTCAACCCAAGGAATCCTCTCAAATTCTTTACATTCTGAGGAGTGGGCCATGAAATCATAGCTTTGATTTTTTCCGGATCAGCTTGGACCCCTTCTGCAGACACACAGTGACCCAAGTACTCAATCTATTTCTTTCCAAAGCTACATTTCTTCCGGTTGGCCACTAACTTATGCTGCCTCAACACCTCAAATACAGCTCTCAGATGGAAAATATGTTCTTTGTGGCTACTACTGTAAATTAATATATCATAAAAAAACTAGAGTAAATACCCTTTTTGGTCCTCAACAAATTTCACGATGCCCGCTTTAGTCTCTAGCAAATAAAAAGTCTATTCGTGGTCCCTAAGAAATTTAAAATAGACTCATTTAGATGAAATCGTGATCCCTCACAAATTCAAAAAAGACCCACATCAGTTCCTCAAAAGGTCTAAAATGGGTCGACTTTGAATTCCTTAGGGACTAAAAATAGAATTTTTATTTGCTAGAGACTAAAGCGGAAATCGTAAAATTTGCTGAGGACCGAATAAGATATTTACTCAAAAAACTAATGCAAATTTTTTCAAAATGGCCTTAGAATTTCGTTCATCAAGGCCTGAAAGGTAGAGGTGGAATTGGTTAGCTCGAAGTGTGGAACCAATGCACTCTACGAAAAGAACATAAAGGTTCAACGATTTTGATGATAACAAACAAGCATGGAAAGAAAGCTTCAAGGTGCAACCATAAAAAAGAAGTCTAAACAAGATCAAGACTCAAGCTTCAAGAGAAGTCTCTAAGTCCAAACTCAGAGTAATATACTATAGGACTTAGGATTATTTGTAAATTGATTCCTTACAGGAACGAAGCTCAAAGTATTTTTCAAATACATGGATTAAATCATCGTTTTCCATTCAAATACATTCCTAGCATGAAAACATAGTTTTCAATATTCATAAAATGTTTAAACAATATTTGAAACTGATGTGAATCAAGAGAAAACCATTTTAGGGCGAAATCCATCATTTCAACAGGTTGGTAATCGATTATCCAACAATGGTAATCGATTACCCACTCCATGGTAATCGATTACCTACTGTACAGAAGACAAAAATAATGGCTATAAAACGGCTAGTTTGCAAGAATGAGTAGGAAAAAGGCCATGGGGCCCTCTATAAATAAAGACTATTGTTCCCATTGATGGGACACACTTCTTGATCATTATTACTCATTAATTCTCATCCTATTTGCATTATTCTTGTCTTCTTGATCATAAATTCTATTTGAGTTTTATTCTTGTGAGAGTGTCATATATCATTGTTCTTCAACTTGTTTTATTTGTACTTTGAGAGTACTTAGCCACTATTAAACACCATCCTTTGATTTATTGAATAGTTAGGGGAGTGAACCCTATACACTTGAAAGGTCACCAAATTCCTAAGAAAATTTGGAGTGAAAAAGTGTAAGGCATCAAGAGCCCGAAGTCTTGAATGGTTGTAGTGGTTTGTCAAGCACCCTCAAGCTTGATAGTTAGTGAAAAGAATTGATCAAGCGGCTTCAGTCTGGACGTAGGTCACGGTGGTGGTGACCGAACCAGGATACATCTAGTTTGCAATTTCTCTAACCTTAATCTCTTTATTTAAGTATTAAAATTGCATTTTAGATTGTCTTTATATATTCGCTTACTTACTTTGTTGATCACTACACTTGCTCATACACTTAGATTTTTCCTTATTAAATCACTTCATTGAAGAAATAATCTTTAAAATATAAAAGGAGGTACTTTGCGAAAAGATTTTGTAAAACTCAATTCACCCCCCCTCTTGAGTATTGAAGCCACTTGTCCAACACGAAGGGCATCACTAGGTACTCGCAATGCCCCTCATGTGTTCTGAATGCAGTTTTAGGAATATCATCTTCCTTCCTTCTTATTTGATGATACCCAGACTTCAAATCTAGTTTAGAAAAAATTCTGGACCCTCTTAACTAGTCTAAGAGTTCATCCACCATAGGAATGGGGAATCTATCAGGGGTAGTAATTTTATTCAGCGCTCGATAATCAACACAGACGCGCCAACTCCCATCTTTTTTTTTAACCAAAATAACCGGACTAGTATAGGGACTCGTACTATGCCTGATCATCTCATTTCTAAACAACTCAGCCACTAATGTTTCAATCTCAGATTTCTGGTAATGAGGATACCTGAATGGTCGAATATTGGGTACTTGACTCTTTGGCTTCAAGTGCATTGCATGGTCAATGGGACATGTTGGTGGCAGCT